ACTCTGACTGTAGATCAATTCTCTGATCCTTCAGGTCTATTCCAGACTCGGTTCTTGCTCACACTAATCTCGGGGCTGTGATAATGTTTTATGATCATGTTGTTTAGAAATGATGATAAATTTATTACCAGTTGCTATTTAAGGTTGAATTCTCAATAAATGTTATTTCATTATCTGGAGTGCAGTTATTCCATATTTTTGATAAATTACATTTTCTGATCAATAACCTGCAATACTGATCTCTGTGGTTCTCTGATTAACGTGGCCTAGGTTAGTAGCACAGAAATCATTTGCATCTCCAAAATGAAGTAGGTTTTGGGGATAATTTCATTGAAACCCACAAATTCCCCTATTCATGGCGCTATGACATGGAATACACAAACGTTTTTCAATTCCATTTCTGTGCTTTTTTGTGTTAAATCTCCCCCCCCATGGGATAACTGTGGAAATCTCTGAACAACTAATCAGAGTTCTCATTAACCCCCCGTGGAGATACTCAAATATTCACTTTGCTATTTGTCAAGTAGAAAACAGTCTCTGCATTAAAATTAATGCGTTATTAATCCCACTGTTCTAGAGCTTGGCAGGCCGTGATTTTCCCCTCTCCCTTTCTCTCTAAATTTACCCCGGGGCAGTCAGTGGGTGATACAATACGTCTGCAAACTTTAAATCTTTATTATTTGCTGGCTGGAAGGAGGGGTGCTGTGGATCTGCTTTGCAATTTGACATCATTCCCCCTTTTAGCAGCTTGTACGCTATGGAATAAAGCAACAATATTCCGTTAACTTAGAAATTGCCGTTTAATGAATGAGTGAGTGCGCTGGAGCTTGTATGTTGCGTGCGTGTGTGTGTATAATACACACACTGATCAATCACAACCTTAAAGGACCACTATAGTGCCAGGAAAACATACTCGTTTTCCTGGCACTATAGTGCCCTGAGGGTGCCCTTACCCTCAGGGTCCCCCTCCCACCGGGCTGGATGGCGAGGAAAGGGTTAAACTTACCTTTTTTTCCAGCGCCGGGCGGGGAGCTCTCCTCCTCCTCTCCGCCTCCTCTTCGGCTGAATGCGCATGCGCGGCAGGAACCGCGCGCGCATTCAGCCAGTCTCATAGGAAAGCATTCAGCCTCTAGCGTCTGTCAATGAGACAGCCACTAGAGGCTTTAGAGGCTGGATTAACCCATTTATAAACCTAGCAGTTTCTCTGAAACTGCTATGTTTATAAAAAAAAAAAAGGGTTAATCCTGGAGGGACCTGGCACCCAGACCACTTCATTAAGCTGAAGTGCTCTGGGTGCCTAGAGTGGTCCTTTAAGAACACCTGCCTAATGTCATCCCGGTTCCCCTAATGCTGTTAAAACAGCGAGGCATGGACTTGTGTCTTGCAAGTTGCGAGATGGGGCCTCCATGGATCAGATTTGTTGTTCCAGCACATCAGATGGTCAATCAGATGGAGATCTGGGGAATTTGGAGGCCAAGACAACACTTTGAACTCTGTCATGTGTCTGAAACCATTCCTGAACATGTTTTGCAGTGTGGCAGTGTGCTGAAAGAGACCACTATCATTAGGGAACACCATCACAGCACAGTGAGCTGCTGTGGTTATGGTGTTTGCAGTGTCCCTTTAAGCTAGGTTTATGGACATTACATCGTGGTTTTGTTTGGCCGGTATATATGAGTAGAGTTTTGCCTGTATTTACCTGGAAGCAGTACCTGTTCTGATATTAATAAAAGGACACGTATTGCTCACATTACCTTGGTGAAAGCAATTTGACACTCTCCCCCACCCAGTGATCTACAGCCATATCAAATTCAGCCGCCGGTTGAAAGTTCCCAGGAATCTCTCAGTTTAGCTGGAAGAATTCACAAGCCAAAATTACAAAGAAAAGCATTTTACCTACTGTATCATCCAGCAGCCCAAGCCGCCCCTCTGTTGGCAGCTGCTAAATGTATAACATAGTGACTAAATATTATTTCTAAGAGAACTTGCCAATAAATGCGTGAAAAGGCTTTCTTTGAAATGACTTCTAATAATTTCATTTATAAGACCGTGCAGTGGATGGTAGACCTGATGAGGTGATTGCTGTAAAAGAATCATTCCTGGGGCAGATAGTAAACTGGGCTAACGATGATCTCGAAGTCTCTATTTAGGAGGGACAGTCCCTATTTTGGCCCCAAATCCCTTTGTCTCTCTTTTCTATCATAATGCCCTTTTTTTTTCTAGTAGCTTCATATTGTTTTCGTGTCAGAGTGTATAACAAAGCTCCACAGCAATAATACTCCCAGTAATGTGTCTGAGTGTATAACAGAGCTCCCCAGCAATAATACTCCCAGTAATGTGTCTGAGCGTATAACAAAGCTCCACAGCAATAATACTCCCAGGAATGTGTCTGAGTGTATAACAGAGCTCCACAGCAATAATACTCCCAGTAATGTGTCTGAGTGTATAACAGAGCTCCACAGCAATAATACTCCCAGTAATGTGTCTGAGTGTATAACAGAGCTCCACAGCAATAATACTCCCAGTAATGTGTCTGAGTGTATAACAGAGCTCCACAGCAATAATACTCCCAGTAATGTGTCTGAGTGTATAACAGAGCTCCACAGCAATAATACTCCCAGTGATGTGTCTGCCTGTACAACAGAGCCCACAGCAATAATACTCCCAGTAATGTGTCTGAGTGTATAACAGAGCTCCACAGCAATAATACTCCCAGTAATGTGTCTGAGTGTATAACAGAGCTCCATAGCAATAATACTCCCAGTAATGTGTCTGAGTGCATAACAGAGCCCCACAGCAATAATACTCCCAGTAATGTGTCTGAGTGCATAACAGAGCCCCACAGCAATAATACTCCCAGTAATGTGTCTGAGTGTATAACAGAGCTCCACAGCAATAATACTCCCAGTAATGCATCTGAGTGTATAACAGAGCTCCACAGTAATAATACTCCCAGTAATGCGTCTGAGTGTATAACAGAGCTCCACAGTAATAATACTCCCAGTAATGTGTCTGGGTGTATAACAGAGCTCCACAGCAATAATACTCCTAGTAATGTGTCTGAGTGTATAACAGAGCTCCACAGCAATAATACTCCCAGTAATGTGTCTGAGTGTATAACAGAGCTCCACAGAAATACTCCCGGTAATGTGTCTGAGTGTATAACAGAGCTCAACAGCATTAATACTCCCAGTAATGTGTCTGAGTGTATAACAGAGCTCCACAGAAATACTCCCGGTAATGTGTCTGAGTGTATAACAGAGCTCCACAGCAATAATACTCCCAGTAATGTGTCTGAGTGTATAACAGAGCCCCACAGCAATAATACTCCCAGTAATGTGTCTGAGTGTATAACAGAGCTCCACAAAAATACCCCTGGTAATGTGTCTGAGTGTATCACAGAGCTCCACAGCAATAATACTCCCAGTAATGTGTCTGAGTGTATAACAGAGCTCCACAGAAATACTCCCAGTAATGTGTCTGAGTGTATCACAGAGCTCCACAGCAATAATACTCCCAGTAATATGTCTGAGTGTATAACAGAGCTCCACAACAATAATACTCCCAGTAATATGTCTGAGTGTATAACAGAGCCCCACAGTAATAATACTCCCAGTAATATGTCTGAGTGTATAACAGAGCTCCACGGCAATAATACTCCCAGTAATGTGTCTGAGTGTATAACAGAGCTCCACAGCAATAATACTCCCAGTAATGTGTCTTTAAACTATAATAAATGTGTTTAGAAATCAGTCTGTGGAAATAAGATACATTGTTCTTGTTCTAAATTACATTTAGTTCCATAAATTATTAGTAAGTCACCTAAAATTTCTCAGAACAGCCCCACTCACACCCACAATAGCCCTGCCTATGGCTACACCCCCACTTATACTCAGTATAACCCCACCCCTGGCCACACCCCTACTCACACTCAGAATAGCCACACACCTGGCCACACCCCCACTCACACCAAGAACAGCCCTGTCCATGGTCACACATCCACTCACACTTAGTATTACCCCACCCCTGGCCACACCCCCACTTACACTCAGATCAGCCCCACCTATGGCCACACCCCTGGACACAGCCCCACCCCTGGTTACACCCCCAGCGACACCCCTTTAATTTGTCGATGTTACATGTCGGGAGGTGTGACATTATCGCTGTGGGTTGGTAGAACAGGAAGAAACCTTCTCAACCCTCTCTGTAGTTGGGATAGGTTGACATAAAATAATTAGCTACTTATGGGTTACTGGTAGCCAGAGGGTTCCTACCTCTCAGCTATTTAAGGCTGCAGGTCCGGTATTAAAGACCAGAATAATGTGCAGATTGCCAGTAATAAACACACAATGGCTGTTCAATCACAAAAATGGTGAACTGGTAGCATTCTCCAGATGATGCATTTTTCTTATTTGGGAAAATAGCTGTCATCAACTGCATCTCATAGGAAATCATTGAATTCCTGTCATGTTTATTCGTTATATTACAGGGCCGCCATGTTTACTCATTATATTACCGTCGTAGACAATGAGGCCGCCATGTTTATTCATTATATTACAGGGGTAGACAATGAGGCCGCCATGTTTATTCATTATATTACAGGGGTAGACAATGAGGCCGCCATGTTTATCCATTATATTACAGGGGTAGACAATGAGGCCGCCATGTTTATTCATTATATTACAGGGGTAGACAATGAGACTGCCATGTTTATTCATTATATTACAGGGGTAGACAATGAGGCCGCCATGTTTATTCATTATATTACAGGGGTAGACAATGAGGCTGCCATGTTTATTCATTATATTACAGGGGTAGACAATGAGGCCGCCATGTTCATCCATTATATTACAGGGGTAGACAATGAGGCCGCCATGTTTATCCATTATATTACAGGGGTAGACAATGAGGCCGCCATGTTTATCCATTATATTACAGGCGTAGACAATGAGGCCGCCATGTTTATCCATTATATTACAGGGGTAGACAATGAGGCCGCCATGTTCATCCATTATATTACAGGCGTAGACAATGAGGCCGCCATGTTTATTCATTATATTACAGGGGTAGACAATGAGGCTGCCATGTTCATCCATTATATTACAGGCGTAGACAATGAGGCCGCCATGTTCATCCATTATATTACAGGGGTAGACAATGAGGCCGCCATGTTTATTCATTATATTACAGGGGTTGACAATGAGGCCGCCATGTTCATCCATTATATTACAGGGGTAGACAATGAGGCCGCCATGTTTATTCATTATATTACAGGGGTAGACAATGAGGCCGCCATGTTTATTCATTATATTACAGGGTAGACAATGAGGCCGCCATGTTTATTCATTATATTACAGGGGTAGACAATGAGACCGCCATGTTCATCCATTATATTACAGGGTAGACAATGAGGCCGCCATGTTTATTCATTATATTACAGGCGTAGACAATGAGGCCGCCATGTTTATCCATTATATTACAGGGGTAGACAATGAGGCCGCCATGTTTATTCATTATATTACAGGGGTAGACAATGAGGCCGCCATGTTTATTCATTATATTACAGGGGTAGACAATGAGGCCGCCATGTTTATTCATTATATTACAGGGGTAGACAATGAGGCCGCCATGTTTATCCATTATATTACAGGGGTTGACAATGAGGCCGCCATGTTTATCCATTATATTACAGGCGTAGACAATGAGGCCGCCATGTTTATCCATTATATTACAGGGGTAGACAATGAGGCCGCCATGTTCATCCATTATATTACAGGCGTAGACAATGAGGCCGCCATGTTTATTCATTATATTACAGGGGTAGACAATGAGGCCGCCATGTTTATTCATTATATTACAGGGGTAGACAATGAGGCCGCCATGTTCATCCATTATATTACAGGGGTAGACAATGAGGCCGCCATGTTTATTCATTATATTACAGGGGTAGACAATGAGGCCGCCATGTTTATCCATTATATTACAGGGGTAGACAATGAGGCCGCCATGTTCATCCATTATATTACAGGGGTAGACAATGAGGCCGCCATGTTTATCCATTATATTACAGGGGTAGACAATGAGGCCGCCATGTTTATCCATTATATTACAGGGGTAGACAATGAGGCCGCCATGTTTATTCATTATATTACAGGCGTAGACAATGAGGCCGCCATGTTTATTCATTATATTACAGGGGTAGACAATGAGGCCGCCATGTTCATCCATTATATTACAGGGGTAGACAATGAGGCCGCCATGTTTATCCATTATATTACAGGCGTAGACAATGAGGCCGCCATGTTTATTCATTATATTACAGGCGTAGACAATGAGGCCGCCATGTTTATTCATTATATTACAGGGGTAGACAATGAGGCCGCCATGTTTATTCATTATATTACAGGGGTAGACAATGAGGCCGCCATGTTTATTCATTATATTACAGGCGTAGACAATGAGGCCGCCATGTTTATTCATTATATTACAGGGGTAGACAATGAGGCCGCCATGTTTATCCATTATATTACAGGGGTTGACAATGAGGCCGCCATGTTCATCCATTATATTACAGGGGTAGACAATGAGGCCGCCATGTTTATTCATTATATTACAGGGGTAGACAATGAGGCCGCCATGTTTATCCATTATATTACAGGGGTAGACAATGAGGCCGCCATGTTTATTCATTATATTACAGGGGTAGACAATGAGGCCGCCATGTTTATTCATTATATTACAGGGGTAGACAATGAGGCCGCCATGTTTATCCATTATATTACAGGCGTAGACAATGAGGCCGCCATGTTTATCCATTATATTACAGGGGTTGACAATGAGGCCGCCATGTTTATCCATTATATTACAGGCGTAGACAATGAGGCCGCCATGTTTATCCATTATATTACAGGGGTAGACAATGAGGCCGCCATGTTCATCCATTATATTACAGGGGTAGACAATGAGGCCGCCATGTTTATTCATTATATTACAGGGGTAGACAATGAGACCGCCATGTTTATCCATTATATTACAGGCGTAGACAATGAGGCCGCCATGTTCATCCATTATATTACAGGGGTAGACAATGAGGCCGCCATGTTTATTCATTATATTACAGGGGTAGACAATGAGGCCGCCATGTTTATCCATTATATTACAGGGGTAGACAATGAGGCCGCCATGTTTATTCATTATATTACAGGGGTAGACAATGAGGCCGCCATGTTTATTCATTATATTACAGGCGTAGACAATGAGGCCGCCATGTTCATCCATTATATTACAGGCGTAGACAATGAGGCCGCCATGTTCATCCATTATATTACAGGGGTAGACAATGAGGCCGCCATGTTTATCCATTATATTACAGGGGTTGACAATGAGGCCGCCATGTTTATCCATTATATTACAGGCGTAGACAATGAGGCCGCCATGTTTATCCATTATATTACAGGGGTAGACAATGAGGCCGCCATGTTTATTCATTATATTACAGGCGTAGACAATGAGGCTGCCATGTTTATTCATTATATTACAGGGGTAGACAATGAGGCCGCCATGTTTATCCATTATATTACAGGGGTAGACAATGAGGCCGCCATGTTTATCCATTATATTACAGGGGTAGACAATGAGGCCGCCATGTTTATCCATTATATTACAGGGGTAGACAATGAGGCCGCCATGTTTATTCATTATATTACAGGGGTAGACAATGAGGCCGCCATGTTTATTCATTATATTACAGGGGTAGACAATGAGGCCGCCATGTTTATTCATTATATTACAGGGGTAGACAATGAGGCCGCCATGTTTATTCATTATATTACAGGGGTAGACAATGAGACCGCCATGTTCATCCATTATATTACAGGGGTAGACAATGAGACCGCCATGTTCTTCATTACATTGCCAGCATTTAAATTGTTTACCCATCAATCAGAAACATATAACCTTTGGAAAATGAACACGTTCCTGATTTAACAGAAGTAAATTTGATCTAGAAATAAGAAACTATTGATTAACATCATTGTTTAGCTGGCGATACTGTTTGATTGATATTAAATCTATTGTTGTCTTTTTTTTCTCAGTTTGATTGAATTTGACACGTGGGATTTCTGCTAAACAGACTGGTTGAAGACACATAGATAATATCAGCCCAGGGAGCACCTACCTCTAGAGTAAATCTACACGGTAAGTGATTATCATATTATCTGCAGTTATTGATAACAAAGGACAGCAGTCATAATACAAATAATAATACAATGAATTAATTTAAGTTCTATAAAACTGATCCACAATGAGTGTTATTTATTGTTTGTGCTGTATTAATAGCAAAAATGTTGACAGAAATGCCTTCAATACAGGACATCTGTAATTCTCGCTATGTAACGAGAATATATGCTAAAATCATGTCACCCTTTGTACGTGCATTATTATACACAAAAATCAAGCAAATAATAAAAACAGAAACCACATACTAAACAATATAAAATCAAGAGATCAAGAAAAAAATCTGCCTTAGTATCACAATACACCGGAAATCGTTCTGTATCCCACAAGTTATTACTAATGAAAATATAAAAATTGTATTATAAATATAATCTGTGTTGTTGGAGCTCGGAGTAGTTTTGGTGGCGCTTGGAGTAGTTTTAACAGAGCAGTGACTTAAAGAAAACGTAGTAACTAAAATTCCACCACATCAAATGTACGATATTTCATTATTATTTAGAAGTGGGAACGACTGCTGTTGCCACCTTGTATTAATTGCTCTGCTGTACAATACATCTTCAGTGGCCAAATTCTAGGCTACGAACAGCTATTACTTGGAACTTCAATTATTATTTTACTAAGAGTTCCCATTTTCTTATATCACATATTATTGGAGGGAATGCACACCTGCCAACGTCAAAGCAGACCCCCCTAAGCGGGTCCTTCCCTCCAATGGCCATTGGAGTAACTAAATGATCTCCATTTGTCTAAATATACATAGGGATTAGGGAGAGCGCAGGTAACTTTTTTCTTCTATGCCTATCTAGTAAGTCTCACAAGGAGAGGGGCTCTCTTAATTTTATTTTACTTTACCCGTCTGTCTACGTTTGATTATTAGGGCTGCCAATCTATTAGGCAGTGACCTTTCTCCCTTTGGCACTTTTTCTGGTGCTTAGGTACTAAGTGAAGATTTACTAGCACCCTATGCATTAAAGGGCCAGCAATAATAAAGCCTATATGAATATTGCAGACTTAGGTGTTTAGTAACTTTATCTCCTCACTGAGGCATGGGAGTAGCCATATAAGGCTAGTTCGGTATTTATTATTATTTGGAGTCGGTTTATTTTTGTGTTGATACTTTCTGTTACTTCAGATATTTAGTGGTCTCCCTCTGGTTACATTGTTCCATACCACTGGATGCTTTGGTGCCTACGTTTTTATCTCCAGTCAGCATTATATTCAGTTTGTGAATTTTTGCTTCTTGATTTCTGTTGCTAGTATCAGGGTTAAGCCCTTGGGCATTGCTGGAGTGCCCTCCTGGTGTATAGGATCAGCGTGGAGGTGGTGTTTATTCCCTTTTACACCCATTTTCACACAGATCCCATTTTTTTCTATTTTTTTTCTAGTTCTTAATAGTACACTGAACACACCGCTGAAATGATTAAAGTTTGAAAACTTTTTTCAAGAAATCTTACTTCATGCAAACTTTAGTTACATATATAAATGTTGTTCTATCTCAATGTAATTCCTTCTAGTTTTGAAGATAGCACTGTTTAATAAATCAATGTGTATTGTCTGTGACTTATTGTGTTGCTCCCAATATTCCTGGACCTGAGATGATATCGAAATGCTTGTTCCCCCAGTCTCATGTTATCCCAGAATGACCACCACTGATTCATTGACCGACACATGTCTATCGCCTTCACTAGGAAACTCACATAATCTCAGACAGTTCAATATTAGCTTGTTTTACTCCGATTTGATGTCCTGAGAATAGAGGAAGATTTTTTCTTCCGCTGTTCTTTGAGTGTGTTCGTTCGGTGAGCTTTTTTCAGTGAGCTCTAGAGATGCGTTACAATTAACCATACAAAAAAATAAAATCAATGTGTTTGTTGTTATGGTCGGCAAGACATGGGGTTTGGCTCCCTCTGTATGATGGAACGCAACACGATCTATTGGGACTAAACGCCATTAAATAACAGACGATATTTACACCCGTATAATGCATTCTCAATAATTTGTGCTGAGTTTTCCGTCTTATTTGTGTGTTGTCACATGAGGAGACTTCTGACCCCATCCCGTGGATTCTAGATCTATCTATCTTTGGAATTGGAAGCCAAGAATTATAGATTTTAAATTTCACCCCTTGGCTTTTTCCATGGTAATATCACCTTAAAATAAAATAAAATAAAATGTTTACCAATTTAGATTTTATTTTTAAATCTTAACTTCAATTTCATTTGGATTGTGTGTAAGAACCAATGGTTTAGGCTCTCGAGTCTCTGTATGCTAGTGATTGAGCAAGAGTAATTTTCTATCTCCTCTTTAATTTAATCACTTTCCAATTCGAACATGTTCTGGATTTAATTTGATTATTGGAACAGCGCAAGAATCAGTATAGAAAATAAATAAAATCTGGGGGTGCATCCTTTCATGATAAATATTCTTTGCACACTGAGCGTACGTTTGAATCATGTCCTTTTATATAAGAAATCACTTAGTAAAAGCAGACATAAATCTATTTAAAGGAACACTATAGGGTCAGGAACACAAACATTTATTTCGGACCCTATAGTGTTAAAACCACCATCTACTGACCCATTGACTCCTTAAATATAGTAAAATCTTACTTTGATTTCAGTCTGATGCTGCTGGATCTGTACCTGTTTTGCCTACTTGGCTAAAATCCTTAGAAAATCACAATGCTTTCCCATAGGAAAGCATTGGATTAGCTGAGATTGTCAAGGAGGCAGATCAGGGACAGAGCCCAGAACAAGCCAAACGCATCCCTGGCCAATCAGCATCTCCTCATAGAGATACAATGAATCAATGCATCTCTATGAGGAAAGTTCAGTGTCTTCATGCAGAGGGTGGAGACACTGAATGTCAGTCACACTGTGCAGCACTGCCCCAGGAAGCACCTCTAGCTGCCATCTGAGGAGAGGCCAGTGGAGGTATCCCTAGGCTGTAATGTAAACACTGCATTTTCTCTGAAAAGACCGTATTCGCTGCAAAAAGCCTGAAGGGAATGATTCTACTCACCAGAACAAATTCAATAAGCTGTAATTGTTCTGGTGACCATAGTGTCCCTTTAATTTATCCGACCTATACTTCTACAATCGTGGATCATGCCATTTACTCTATAGATCTTAACAAACTCTACCTGAGTCACCGGTCATACTACCTGTATGACATCCACCCCTTTCTGGACACCTAGAATATACTATCATGTCCCCTTTATAAAACTCTACCCATCTTCACAGACAATAGAAGCTGATCAGTTAGAATCGTATTCTGCAATTTGCCTGAATTTTTCATTTTTCCATTGAATTAAATGCCAGCCCATGGACTGGCATCAAAAGCTCAGTGAGAAGACATAATGCATAAAGATTATATGCCACTAAAGCAATACGGACCCATTCCTTTACAGCAGCACTGACTGCCAAAAAAATCCCGTCGCTGAGACAATTATTGTTAATGTGATTCATTTACCAAAATGGTTTCTACTTTTCATAAAGTGGGAACATGTTTTCTACGTCCGTTGAGTATTTATTAGCCAGTGCAATAAACCGCGCTCTCGTTTAATTTTAACACAGTGAGTGGGACTCGACTCAGACTCTGTATTGGTGGGGAGAGGGGAATAAAACTGACTTTTTGGCTTTTTTTATTGACACGACTTTCATTTCAATCTCAGAGCCCAAAGCAAGTTAATGCTTTACCATAAAGCAAGCTGTTTAAAGTTGTGCCAGAATAAACCTATATAGTTAGACTCTTGGCTTACAATCTTTTAATGAGCTCTGTCAAATTTGATTGGCAATAAAGTTACTGCATTAAATCATTTATTAAAAAAGTCAATTACTTTTTTATTATATATTTTTTTTTTCGTGGCTATATTGGGATAGCTATTGCCTTGAGTCTCAGTGCAGGAGTTTCTACTCCAGGCTTATTTACATGACTAAGTCCATGTTAAAAACTGCATGGCATTCAAAAGGTTAATCCTCACTGGCACATTTACAAGTTGAGCCTAATGTTACAATTCGATTTTGAATTAACCAAAACCCACCAGTTATTAAATGATCTCCTTATGCAGCACAAGGCAGGAAGACGCAGATCACTGTCCACTGTGAGCCAATCATGTTATTAACGATCGCTAGTGTCGTAGAAAGTGGACAAAAACCATCAGACAGACACAACAGGAAAGATGCAAATTTGGCAAATCTTGGAGCGGCTGGAGAAGGGAAACTTTTCCTGGGGGGATCTTACACTGGCTGATAGGGTGGAGAGAGAGTAACAAAGTATATATGAGATATAACAATAAGTGGAAGTGTGCAGTTACATAACAATGGAAACATAAGTGAAGTGAAACATCTATATGTATGTCCCTATAATGTGCAAAAATGTGTGCAAAAAAAAGTACAATAACAAAAAACATATGTGATATTGTGTTAAAACTGCAGCAAAACCTCTGTTGTAATAATCTTGAAAAATGAAAACATAAATAAAGAATATTAAAAAAACAAAAAAACTGCAGCAACCAACCAAGAATATAAGCAAATATCCCTTGTATTAAAAACAACCCCCTGTGACATCATCTGGCAGGCAGGCTAGTGTGCATGTGCGGTGAGCGTATCCCTCCCTATAGGAAAGCATTGCTTCAATATTTTCCTATGGGGATTTCACTGATGCTGGTCATCCTCATGCAGAGTGTGAGGACGTCCAGCGTCAGGAGACCAAAAGTTGACTAACCACCATGAACTCCCTCTTGTTGGTGT